TAGCTTCATTCTGTATGCGCTCCAGTCTCACTAGCTAACTCTTTGAGACATTGAGCAAACTCAGCCCATAATCAATCACTGAGATGATCAAGTGCTGGTATAGCGTGATTAGCCTTCACTGCTCCATTGCTACCATAATCTTCTGCTTATTGAGACATTTTTTTTTGCCTTTGACACTACCACCTCTATGTGATCCTTGAAAGACAAGCTTCTGTCAATGGTGATTTCCAAGCACCGCAATCTGCTGTCTCTCTTGATGTCCCTACCATTTATTTTGAGGCTTGGAACATTAGCTCTAACACTCTAGATGTTTGGAAAGATGTGAACGCCAACACAAATTTATAAATTTGTTTTGTGAACCCCTGCCTGGAGAAAAACCTGAAGGGATCAGAGGAGAAACAAACTCAGTGACGCCATTAAATTGCTTTCAAATCATTGAACACTTACACGATCAAAGTAGAGTGCAGGTTTTCATCATAGTGCATCGATCAATGAGGCAGCAGACATTTTACAATCAATGCAGGGAGACAATCTAGAAAGTCCCGTGCGACCAATCCTCCTCTACTGTCTGCCGTCCAAACCGTCTAAAAGTCCCTGAAAATGCACACACTACTCTCTGTGGTTCCATCAATTATAAGGAGTTTTCAGAAAGGTCTGTTACGGAATAAACATTACTTTTAAAAATAATTTTTTTGACTTCTGCTTCCAGGTCGATTTAGTCCCAAATTAATTAGAACTGTATACAGCTGCTTTACAACTGGTTTCCAGTAACATCAAGAGTAAGACAAGGATGTGTTTTCATCTTCTTTGCTTCTTGTTATATTCATCGACAGTAGGGGAAAAAAGATATCACCAGCCTGGACGTAACAGGAAAATTGCAACGAACTCCTCTTCGCGAACAACCAATGAATATTTCACAATCAGCTAATAAGCTACATAAAACAATCGACATGAAGATAAAAGATCAACGTTTAAATCAAGTTCAACACTTTAAATGCTTGGGGTGCCTAGATGTGCAGACAGAATGACAGAAATGAGAATACAACAAACCAAAAATGACACGTATCAAAAGACTCAAGTTTGTAAAAACATAATGCAGTCGCCATATCAGCCGTGTGCTAGCAGTGTGACTTGGACATTGACTAAAGAGGACGGAAGAATACTGATCACTTTAGAAAATGAGATATTTGGGAAGGGTCGTAAACCAGACTATAAGAGATCATGTCAGAAACGAAGAAATTGCAAGAACTATTGCAATTCAAAATACGATTAATCAAAGCAACGTCATAAAAATTATTTTTAAAATTGAAAACATCAAGAAGAGCTGATTTTAAGTTAATTATTTTTAATATTATTCTTGTTAATGAAATGGAGAATTAAATAAAATATTCTTATGAACTTCCATATATTCGTTTACTTTAAGTGATAAATGTATGAACATAATGAGAAATACAAAAATTACTGTAGAATTTAATTACAAACTGTAGAGTCTTAAATGTAATTTTACGTTATGTGTATACATTAAAATTATATAAAATAACAATAATTATGTTAACAAAATATATACAGAGTACTTAAAATTAAAAAGGGTTTACCCAAAGGCACTGAAGAAATTATTGAATTATTTATCTTTTTAAAAAAAGTCAGGTCTTTAATTTCTATTTAAGGCGTAATTGTAATTTGATAGACATTGCAGGAAACATGTTAAAGCAAGAAGAACACTCGTGTGTCTCAGGGTTTGCCACACTCAGTCCACATTTGTGCAAAACCACGCAGATGTTAAATCGTTGATGCTTTCTCTTTGCTAAATACTACAGTAACATAAGTCTGCCCAAAGCTCGATGTTAGAATTTCTTTACGAAACATGACATTATCAATAAGCCTCATCAAATGGTCACATACCTGGGGAACGTCCATGGTCACAAAATGTGAAACTATCTCGGTTTGTTTAACTTCTTTAGGTGACGCTTCATCTTTTGGTTGCAAAAAGCCGAAATCTCTTCTTAGTTTTCCTAGTCTGCAGCTATAACCAGGAGCAAGCAGCGCTGTATCCGGTTTCAGATCTGCCAAAGCTTCTCTCAAGCATTGACATTCAGCACACGGACACTGGTAACACCCTGGTCCCGACTCTCGTAATTTCAACACCTGATCTTTACTGTCGTGGGAATTCAATCCTATGTGAGACCAATTGTCATCTCCCATGTTGTAAGTAACTGGGTATATTCTCCTCTGAGACTGTTTAAATAAGCTGTACTTATTTTCAGAGCTTCTGAAATCGGAATTTCCATCCTCAAGGGGAGTGATGACATACGGAGTTTGGTTCATAATCTGGTAACTTCTTCTCTTTTGGTACTCGCTTGGTAGCCTCGGCGATCTGATGCATGGTTCTTGAAATTCGTGAACATACAAATAGTGTTTAGATAAAATTCTTCTTCGGGGAAGATCAACAATAGAGTTGCTATTGAAATTCATAGCAAGCTGCATTTTGTCTAGAAGCATTTCTGTGTCTCGTTGTTGTCTTCCGGAAGTCATATCATGTGAAAGTGGTGTCTCTTTTCCATGCCTGTTGGGCGACTGTTTTCTGCTTATTTGTGCAGATTTTTCTCTGCTGTTTAACTGTGTTGGTGTATCTCCGCTACTTATTAGTGGAAGCCCACCTGTAAAACTTAATCTACCTGCGATCGATGTTCCTTGAACTTTCTTAACTTTCTGCTTTCTAGAACTACTAGAGCTCCTAGCTCTACTGGTTTTGCGTGGTCTATCAAGTCTCCTTATTACCAGATCATTATTTAAAGCCACTTCCATTTCCATTTGCTCTTGTTCTCTAATATATCGGTTCCATAATGTGTCACCAACTTTGTCATCTTTAAAATGCATTTCGGTAGCGATTCTTGAGTTTTGTGAGTGATAGGGTTTTCTTGAATGAATATTTTGTTTCAACAAAGGTGCTTCTCTAAACTGAGAGTTAGCCGCAGTTGATGTAAATGCAGTGTTTTTTTCCATATTTCTGCCGGTGATTTTGTGTTTGGATTCTTTTGCACGCTGTAGTTTTACTGCTGTCGGCACCTTGTTCTCAGTGCGTGGAACGTAAAGACTAGTGATGTACATTTCTTTACGGGACAAATTCAGTTTTTCAAGTGTTGTGGTATTTGTGTCATCTTTAGGAATCAGGGTGGTGTTCTCGTCGTCTATCTTTGAGCAAGAGTGTGCGATCGCAGTTTTATCTTCCCGTCTTGTTGGAGGTGTACTATGAAACCAGACATTATCAGTTACAATTTCACTGTATGTTTGATTCAGCTCTTTGTCTGACTTGCTTATCATATCACCACTATAACTTTTGTGTTGAAACTTCTCTAAAACGTTTAAATAATGCAGTGATGCATCCACACTGTCAATACCACATCTGCTGGTCGTTATCTTCAACGTTTCATCAAGCTCTGATGTCAGTGTGGCAATTTGTTCTTTAACATTGACATGCTCGTTGACTGGCAATCTCACATAGCTCATGTTTTGTTTGTCTTGGGAATATGCAGGGTATAAGACGTTCTGGGGCAGAGGACTTTGCGTGCTTGACTGTGAGTCGGAATTTATGTTCTCTGACTCAGTGTATATAACGTTAGATGCTTCAGCTTTTTCGTATAATATCGACTGAATAACCATTGATTCGCAGCTCAGCTGTAAAATATAATAAAAGTCGAATTTAATGACTTTAGTGTTGACAGTTTGGACACCTAACAAGAATGCCCTGGTACTATCTGCCACAGCGAGCCACACTAAAACGTTACAACGGGTATAGAGCCAGTGGAATACCTCGGAAATATGGAGTGATGGCATTAAGAACAGCCTTACAGAAATGAACATCAGTCTTAATAGTGCTCTTGACAGAGCTCATCAACGAACTGGGTATGTCTTAAAATGTCTTTAGGCTAACAACTCCCTTTCTATTCTGGTTGATGTAACGACCGGTGACTCCCGTAAAATATACATTCAAAATATACAAAGTAACTAAATGTATATATGAATTAACACATGACACAAAAAACATAAAAAAGGGCCCATAAGAAATAATTCAAGACGCACACGAGCTAACTTAAGATACAGGAACTGAATCAGGACACATTTTTAACTATCTCAGGACAATAAGAACTAACTCATGAATCTACGAACGAAGTAGAGATCTATCCGAAGACACATAAGAACTAACTTAAGACACAAGCCAACTAATTTTTAAAAAAAAATAAAAAAAAAGTAACGTGTTACAAAATAACTTAACTAGAAACACATTTAAACTTACTTAGGACATACAAATTAACTAAAGAAACACAATAATTAATCCCCCGAACATAAGAACTAAACGAAGACACGCAAAAACTAACTTGGGACACACACGAAAATATTCAAGACACACATAAACTAAGTCAAGACACACACAAAACTAAATCAGGATGTACGAATTAATTCAAGACACATGGTAACTTAGGAAACCATAACTAACTTGAGACACAAGAACTATCTCAGGGCGGAACAACTTACTCCGGACTACGAATTAACTCAAGATAATACGAACTAATGCTAGACATATAAACATGTACTTAAAGTACACAAAACTAAATCCAAGACAAATAAGAACAAACTTACTGACCCATCTTCTTGTCTTCTTCTGCATTCTGTCCCACAGTGGGAAGTAGGCCTACAACCAATCCACGCCAAGTCGTTCTATCCTTCGCCTTGCGTGCAGCTCTCCTCATGTTCTCCCCATCTTCTTAACTTTTTTTTCTTCTCCTAGTTTTTTTTTTCTTCCTTTATTTCCATGTCTCTGTGATTTCCATTGCAAAGACATTCTAGTATTATTCTTCTCATGTTTTCTCAACGCATGTCATATCCAACACCTGCGTCATTTCTCACCCTCGTGGTCCACTAAATCCTGTTTAGTTCTCTCCCAAAGCTTAACATAAGTTATTGCATCGTACCATTGAGACATGCATGCTGTTAATTCTTACCTTTTCTTGCGGCTTCGTTACCCTACTGGTATTAGTCGCATTTGCCGATTCGTCGTTGTTGGTATTCTTAGAAAGCTTTTTGCGGTTACTCTTTTTGCTCTTAACCAGTGTACTGCGCCTTTTTTGCGAGAACACAGACGACGCATGTTTAATCGCTGAGCTTTCTCGTGATGACTCCTCGCCTTCTTTCGCTACAAATCGCCTGTTGTTGAGGTTGGCACGTAAAATATGACTGTGTAATTTTTGCCGCCTCTCTAAGTCATACAGAGCCGTTAGCAGTAGTTTCAGCAGTTTTCCACCAACAACTCTCAAGCAGATCTTCTCTTTCCAGTTGTCTGACCATAGGTAGTCGAAGAACTCATCTAAAGACATATAAATGTTCGAAAACAAAGTCAATATTTGAATTATCAATTCATAAATAACCTTTATAATAAAACATTCACAACAACCAACTACATAGACGTAATATTCTCTCTCCCCCCCCCCCTTTCTCTCTCTCTCTCTCTCTCTCTTCCCCCTCCTCTCTCTCTCTCTCTTCCCCCTCCTCTCTCTCTCTCTCTCTCTCTCTCTCTCTCTGTGAGTGAGTGAGTGAATGTGTGGGTGTGCGTGTGTAGATGCATTAACTATCCACACTTTTGTGCGCCCCTCCCACTGATTTTTATGTATTTTTATATTACCATGTTTTGTTAATGTTTATTAGACGGATCAACATCATGGCACACGGGTGTAACAACTGCTATGTTCTACATCCAACTCAAGCCTGAGTCTGAAGAATCTCAGCGCAGTGCACGAACTTCGTTGCACCGGCAAGGATCCTGAAATACTATGGATAGATTTTAAAATTTTGCCCAGGCAGCGCCGTTAGGCTGCTCTTTTCAATTTCCAACTGTCGATGGATTTTTTACGTATGCAAGAATACACACAGGCGTACCATATTACTACCCAGAGACCAGGGAAAATTACTAGGTCCCTGTGAAAAAATCACTGCTTTCACCGTGGTTTGAACCCAGGACGTCAAGCATTCGAGGCGGACACCATATCTCGAGACCACTTAGCCCGCAAACATATAGGGCCCTTATATGAACATCGCATGCTGTACTGATAAAATGCAATATATGTGTGAAAGATGAGTTCAAGGGTCGAACGTAAAACCGGCATGCATGCCAATTTTGTGACCCCTTGAAAAAAAGTTTGTTCCTTCGTTCGTTTGTTTTCTCTCTCTCTCTCTCTCTCTCTCTCTCTCTCTCTCTCTCTCTCTCTCTCTCTCTCTCTCTCTCTCTCTCTCTCTCTCTCTCTCTCTCTCGTGTTTGAGATGAATATTTGGAAAGGCTGAATATAATAGGGATCTGCTTGCCTAGTTTGTGTCCATATAAAAAAAAAAGTGTGTTCGTTCCCTTGTTTTCTCTCTCTCTCGCCCTCTCTCTCTCTCTCTCTCTCTCTCTCTCGCTCTCTCTCTCTCTCTCTCTCTCTCTCTCTCTCTCTCTCTCTCTCTCTCGTGATAGAGATAAGTATTTGGGAAGGTTAAATATAACAGGGGTCTGCTTGCCCAGTTTGTAACCATTTCTAAATAAAGTTTTTTCTTTCGTTTGTTCTCTCTCTCTCTCTCTCTCTCTCTCTCTCTCTCTCTCTCTCTCTCTCTCTCTCTCTCTCCCTTTATCTCTTTTTTTTTTAGTTTTTTGTTTGTTTGTTGGAGATGCATGTTTGAAAGGGCTGAAATGGGAGTCTGCTTGCCCAATTTTTGACAATTTCCACACACTGTTCTTTCGTTCACTCGGAGAGACGAACTAGACCAGCGGAGGAATCTCTTCCACTTCAATAATTTTGGAGCTAGAAGAATGACCAAATAAAGGAGGCGTTAAATTCAGCTTTGAAATTTGTGTCCATAAGGCAATTTAAAATTGTCTAACTTTGATTCTACTTTTAATTTTTGAATCTCTAATCTCTATATTTTCTATATTGTTCCCGCGACAGAGACCCTGGGAAATGCATGCAGTGCTCTCAGGGTCTCTGGTAGTTCCTGTTGGGAGCCATTGCTCGAGTACATCCTCAAGTATTACCTGTACAGTTTCGTTCTGTATTCGTTTGAGTTTCCCTGTAAATGGTATGTGTTCTGTTATCTGTTGGTCTTACAAAGATGAGGCTCATTGCTATGCAGTGATGTCAATCATTTAGAGGGTTACCGGGGAGGAGGGGGAGGGAAGGGGGGGGGGGGGTTTGGCAGTCAGTTATCACACCAGCCCATAGCCTTTTTAAATCACCCGTATTAAGCAATGTAGCTCTTGATTTTTTTTTTTTAAGCAAAAACAAAAACTACAAATACGCGCGTGTGCACACGCGCTTGTTCGTGTGTGTTTTAAATAAACAGTCTAAATGACTACTTTATGTTCTTACTGACAGTGAAGAGTTCTGGCATTACTTCCTCGGAAGCTTCAGGTGGTCTTGTAGAATCTTCTAGAAAAACGGACGATAAAGCTGATTTATTCGCTTCTATCTCGCTTTCGTCGTCATAGTGACTATCTGCATTATTTCTGAGTGTAGAACGTCTCAAAGTAAATTTTCTTTTGATAACTTCATTAGCGTCAGGAATCTTAAGGTAGATAAAAGAAAAGCTGTGCTAAATGATTGAAAAACCATTTAGTTTTAATTGCAAAATGCATTATCATTGCCAGTTAGTAAACCTTTTGCAGGAGGCAAATTTTATCGTGGCATGAAGGAAAATATTTCGATCCTATGCCAGTGTTCACCTTCTCATAGACGTTCATGATCATGGCTTACTTGATATCCTCTATTAAGCGTGATGCTAACTGACCCTAAGGATATTCTTCCTAGAGCCATACTTTCAGTTAATGTTCATTCCAAAACATTATGGAGCGGGTTTCCAACCCATAGGTCGCGACATCAAATGGGGTAAAGAAGTGGTGTTTTATGAAAAAACAAATAATACAAATAACATCGGTTATATTTTACTAAGGAATAACATTTATAGTCTTTTTATGTACCCTATTACAAATAATATTTTAATGTTTGGCATCGTGGGTCACTTTGACTATAAAATGGGAGTCGTTACCAAAAGGTTTGGAGCAGCTGCATAATGGCGTTTAAAATCACCGGGTAAAGATATTACGGGGATATGGTCTTCCTTACATTAATCATGTCTGAGAATCTTCTTCTTCTCGTTTACTGCCTTTGTATTACGGTGGAAAGTCCTGGTTGTTCGTCCATTTTGACTTTTAGCTTTTACCTGGACCTGAGTTGTGGGTGTACATCCGTTTAACTGGCTTATTTGTGTTCAGTTCTCGTTCCCTGCCTCTCCGGTAGATGAACTCTGACTTCAAGGGAAGACGTCAGCCTATCTCTGGGATGACTGTGGCCTTTGTTTTTTAGGACGAGATGTTGCCTCATTTGTGTGGTGTCCTCTTTGTTCTTTTATCTACAGGTCTTGCCCCCGCACCCCCCCCCCCCCAAACTCCCTTGGAGCAACCCTATGTAGAATGGTCAGCCCTCAAGGGAAGGCAGTGGCAGATCATGGGCCATCCAAAGAAGCTTCCATAAATGCAGAGCTGACACATGACGCTTTGGTTCTGGGCTCATCCAAAGAATCGTCAGGTCCTGCACATGACTGCTCAACCTCACAACCGCATATTGAGCTTCCCGCTCGTCACGGGTTGCACTCTTCGGAGATCAGTGGGGAGCTGCCCGCAGGTCCAGATCTTTTGTGACTACACAAAAAGGTACATTCTTCTTCATTGCACGGAGACACCTTTAACGTTTTTTTTTAACTGTGCGCTTAGCACGAAAGTACGGCGGCATGCATCAAGCATGGTTTCACCTGTTTGGTCCTAACACTCGGGCGAGTGGGGCCAGTGAATACGGACATTTGGACTTGTTTGCCAATCAGTAAGATTTATGATGGTCGGACATTGAGCTTTGCTCGCGTGCCGTAGGATTTATCTTTTTCGGTGCCTAGCCAGCAGATGAACAGTTGCTGTCGTGGTGTACCTCAGCGCGATGAGGACGACGCTGAGGGATGACAGAGGATGTCCATAGGTAGGATTTTACTGCGAGAAACCACTCACAGGAGATGTTACTCATCTAGGCTTCGGGTAAATCTCTTGGTCAAGGGTTGAGTCTCCGCAGCAGTTTTCCCTTCACTCCACATACTTTTAACCAAGAGTTGTCATTTAGCCGTACATTTGACAAGCAGACTTTACTGATGATCTAAATGAGTTTTGATATACTATTTCACCCATGCGTTTGGGGCGGGCTGATGAGAGCCAGGATGGACATTACACCTCTGGGTGCCGTCAAACTCCGAGATTCCCTGCCAACTCTGTTAATGCTAATTTAAGACATTATCTGTGGCGCACGACGGGGACGTGCAGCAGGGGTTTTGTATGAGGTTTGTAAATCCAGAACAGTGAAAGGCTGGCGCCCGATTCAGGTATGGAGTGTCTCCTTCTACGCATCACATATGACCTATAATTCTCTCACGCCTGTGAGCGAAATCACCGCGCCACGTTTGAAGATAAAGTCGGTGTCTGTGGCTAGGCGTTGCGAATGCGCCTCGTGATTTCGGAGTGTTGGGTTCGATTCCATTTGCGGGTGATCTGACAGGAGATCGCCTTGCGTTGTTTCGACAGTTGTGTCAAAAACTGATAGTTGACAGCATTGGCTAACAGCTGAATGTAGAATTGAATATTGAAATCACAATAAGCAAAAAAAAAAAAAAAAAAAAAAAAATTTGCTGGCTTTGGTTTCACAACGTTCACTAAAGCAGGCATGTCAAACCTGCGGCCCACGGGTGCATGCGGCCCTTTGAAAACACACCTGCGGGCCGCACAAAAGAAACATTCTTCAATCGTTTTTATTAAGGGACTCAAGTAACTTGTGGCTTGTGACCCTCGCGATGACACCATTTGACCCATTCAGCCGTCGGCGAACACCCAGTTTGACCGGCCTGATCTAAAGCATAGGCAGCTAACTCTTATAAAGTGAAAGAGTAGACTTTCGAACCAGGAAATTGTTCCCCCCCCCCCCCCTTTTTTCGATCTGTCACCGGGGATGTGCCCAGACACAGTCGTACAAAGAAATTCAGGTACGATCAGACAGATCTCATATAATTTTTGGTCATGCTAACTGAAGCACAAAGTCAATGATTCAACAAAAGACTGTTTTTTTTAATGGATATGGCCTCTTTTAGCGCTGCCGTAAACAGACTCAAAACAAATGCAGAAGGGAAAGACAAAAACACCAAACACATACACACACATACGCAGATAACAAGTGAGAGGGACGGGAGGAGAGAGGAAAAAAGTAATTTTGCAATTATTTCATTGTGTATAATATTGATAATTCCTATTTTACATTAATCAAAATTTTCAGTATAAAATGACTGGAAAGCCACGTAATCTACCCCAGACTAGGGACACGAAGAAAAAGAGGGGAACAGAAAAGAAAGAAGATAATAAGATAATGAGAAAGAGGAGAAAGGATGAAGAACAAGAAAGTGAAAAAGACAAGAAGAGGCGGAGAAATGAAAGAGACTAAAAGGGTCAGAAAAGACGGAGAGGAAAATGACAAGAATAATAATAATATGGTTATTATACTCTTATCGTGCTATTATATTGAACGGGACTATTATGATGAAAACAGTGCTTGCTTAATTTTTTTTTAAATATTGATAACCACGTTCAACCCTGCTGAAAACAGCTCTGGTTGTAATTGTGGTCTGGTTTTATTTATTATATGTTTAAAGGATTAATATCAGCGTCTGTGACTTAGGCATTGCCAACGCGCTTCGTAATACCAGGGTGCCCGGTTCGATCCCAGCTGCGGACGATTTCTCTTACTTTGGTTTGAGCTGACCGTTTAGAAGCAATGGCAAACTACGGAATGCAAAATATGCCTAGAAAAACCACAACAGCACAAAAATGCTGGAGTTGGTTCTGTTACGTCCTGTAAAAGATACGCAACTCACTTTACTTGATTAAAGGGTTTGCTGTTGCCAAGAGTTGTGACCTGATGACCGTAGCCGTGTGTGTCTTCGCCATTCTGAACATGTCTGGGTTCCCCATTTTGGTTATGGGGTCCGCATAGAATTTCAACTGTTCGTATCCAGCTTTCCGTCTTCTGAGTGCTTTTGTACAATTTGTTATTGTGGATGTACTCAATAAATTCACATATGGTGGTTTTCTTCAGAGGTATTGTGTCCTGTTGTCTGACCTGAAAATCTCGTCCTGGTGTATATCCTTACTGGGTTGTCCATTTCAGCTGTTATGGCTCTGGACAATTGGGGCTCCATTCTGTGCACTAAGCGTACCTGGCAAGTAAGAATGCTGTCGCCAATACGGATTTGCAGTGCACAGATGTTATTATTTCAAATTGTCTTTTTTTCCCCCGAAATTGATATCAATGAAATCAAATTTGTAAACAGGATGGATAAGGAAATCTAATATCTCTTGATTTTTTTTTTTAATCTTATAGATTTAATACATTACATTTCGAGAAGGTAATGCTCGCAGGTGGCTGTAGAGACGATATTTGTCACTGGTATCTTTATTCAGACATCCTCTGTGTAAACTGCTCATCCAGTGTTCTTTCGATGCTGGGGAGCTATCAACACATCCGGTGTATTCGTGGGATTGGCGAAGAGCTGATAAAACGTTTACACACATGGTTAACAACAGTGACTTTTTATATTCATCAGACATCGCTAATCAGTCTAAAGATTGCATTTTTAGTAGTAGGTAGACTACCCCCCGCAACCACACGCAGACGGTCTTTTTTTCTAGGCATTAGATTAAATGTTTCATATAATTTCACACACACACACACACATAACACACACACACGCACACACACACACACACACACAAACATATATATATATATATATATATATATATATATATATATATATATATATATATATGCAGGTCTTAAGCAGTCCTCTCCGAATATGCAGATAAATATTTACTATGTTTCCCTAGCAGAAGAGAATTCATCTTACCAAGGATATCTTCTGCTTCTTCTTCTTTGTTCACCGGCTATAAGCTCAGGCGGACAGTCCTGGTTGTTCGTCCATTTGGAGTTTGGGTTGTGCCATAGAGTGTACAGCTTTGCATGTACACCCTTATTACAGGCGTATTTGTATACCGTTTGTTGTTCCTTGCCAATCGAGCAGATGCACTCCGACTTCAAAGGAAGTTCCCAATTATTCAACTCCTACTACATCATTGTTAATGAGGCAGTTGGTCTCTTCTTGTTTCTCCCAACAATGTGGGCCCCGGAACTCACACAGGGATACCGAGAGTATGAGAGCCTAGGGCTCCTCCAGTGCCACATGTTTATGGTATACTATATAAAGGTGCCTAACTTCTGATGTCCCTTCTTTTGTTATGTTGACCAGTTCTGTCACAGTAAGTAAGTAAAGTAAACAAACCTTATTCACGCATTCAGGTGTAGTGGACATACAGGGCTAGATCTATTTGTATAGACCAAGCGGCATTCGGTGGGTGATGTTATCAACATCACCCGACCCCCTTTACTTTCCAGTACTTTACCTGTACCCACTTGTACGGTTTCAACCACCTTCAGATCCGCATGCCAACGTCTAACCACTACATCACAACGGCTCTCTGTTCTATCACAGTTAGTTGGGTATCCTTTACAGGACGTTACATAACTTACTTCAGCATTTTTTTTTTCTGTTGTGGTTTTTGTAGACAAATTTTGCCTTTAGCTCTCGGTACCAAAGCAAGACAAATCGTCCGCAGCTGGGATCAAACCCGGAACCCCAGCATTACGAAGCGCGTTCGCAGCGCCTAAGCCACAAACGCCGAGTCTGTCACAGTAAATACTTTAAATCTTCATGTCTAGTGTAGCAACTATTTTAATTTATCGAGACAAGAAGACTGTTACTTCAATGTTTACAAACTGTCAGGCATAATTTACTTACGGTCATGTACTATAAAAAGTTGTAACCATACCTGGTAAAATGTTCATCTTGAAGGACTTCGTGACATCCAACGGCAGCTGTCATTGAATATCAATAATTTAACCTTGTCTGCTTCGTATCTATATCAGTGATAAATCTGCATACATAAATACTATTTTGAAAATCGTAAATTATACATCCAAAAGATACCCACTGCTTCTTGAATCGCTTTCTCAATTAGTCGTAAATAACACTGTAGGTCAACTAAACCCACCAACTACACTAGACTAAGATTAGGTCGCAGCTGTTTTACGGTGCCACAGTATAACTATTAGGAAGGTTATGGGCTCCTTCCCTGGCGGAGTAGGACATGAAAAAAATGACCTTGACTCCTCAAGTCGGCCCAGCCTTTAGTGGGCACCGCGTGCAGTCCTGGGAAGTAAAGATGACCGGCGTGATGCTGGCCACATCACTCACCTTGTGCCAATTGGTCTATAAACATATAGGTCTAGCCCTATACGCCTTAAGGCGTGGAAAGGGGACCTTTACTTTTACTTTAAAATATAACTCTGCTGTAAGGCTATATATATATACGGTTGAGCGGTGTTTCTGGGATTTATACCTGTTTGATTCCTCTTTTTTTTTTTTTTTCGATCCTTCTGTCAGAAAACTCGTATCAGGAGGCTGGTAGCCTTTATGAAAGCTATCATGCAGTCCGTATCCCCTCGTGTACCGTACAGTTTTGCCTTAATTGTTGAAACAGACCAGATTGCGTCTGTGTTCACAGCGACAGTGTTGGAGCACATGCTCAGCATTTTCTGGTACCAGGCTTCAGGGACACGTCTTCGTGTTTCCTACATGTTTAAACATATGTTGACGAAATTTATTGTGCTCTGTTCTTAGTCTGAATCATTCTTGAGAAGTTAATCCTACACACTGCAATCCTGGAGGGTGAAACGTTGCATTGCAGTTCCTCTTGGTAATGTGATGTACTGGAGTATGTTCCTTACTGTCCGTCTTTCAATGTTATCTTTCCGTGGCATACATGACATGCTAGAATGAGTGAACAGTGCCAAAGTGAGTAAAAGTAAATAACCCTTTTCCACGCCTTTAGACGTATTAGGTATATTGGGCTAGGCCTATATTTTATAGACGAGTCGGCACTATGTGGGAGATGAGGTCAGCATCACGTCAGACGCGTTTGCTTCCCATGATTGCATCTAGCACTCACTCAAGGCTGGGTCGACGAAGGAGTCTCTTTCTTTTTCTTTTTCTGATCTATGGTCTCACTGTTACCATGTTGTAGCCCAGTGTCGTGTCTTTATCGCATTTGTCTTGCGCTTCTAGGGTGGCTTCAAAGATGGATTCGTTCAGCTTGTTTGCAGGTTTCAACTACGCAATTTATCCATCTCTTTCTTGGTCTTATTCTCGCCTTTCTCCCAGACGTTCTACTGTGAAAAGTCTTATATGCAGTCTGGTCTGGCTGCATTCTCATTAGAAGGCCTAATCATTTGTGGGAGCGAAGGTCATTTTCGAAAAAAAAGTCCGGCTTCGTATGACCAGAACCCACGGCATTCCGATCCACAGGATGTACAAAAAGATAATCACGAACTCAAGAGAATGGTGCAGCGGCAAATAACAGGGGAGTGTGCTGCGATCCTCTTCACGTCTTCTTTAATCTCATTATATATTTACCGTGAAAAGAAAACAAAACAGGACACCGTGTTCATCTTTCTATACATTATTATACACACATATAGACACACGCACACACACACACACACACACACACACACACACACATATATATATATATATATATATATATATATATATATATATATATATATAATTTAAATGGAAAATTACAAGGAAATTCTAAGGATATCATCCATACGTATAACTGCATCATTATATTGCATGCAAAAATAAATAATCATAAAAAGTAATCATATGGCTGTGTTACCTCTGTATTAGAGGAAACAAGAAAAGTAATTTAATAAAAGTTGCTGAATAGGATTTTCTCGAAAATGGAAATATCACCATGGAAACACCACGGGACAGCAGGCTTGGGCAAAGGACATAAACTATGCTTCATAAAGATACACGCAGCGAAACATGGAGAAGGGGCAGCAACAATGAAATTCCTGATGTGTTTAATAAATCACAATTGATCACGAACATCAGGCGGGCTACTGTACTTAAATGGCTGTGGAATATAGATAGAATGGCCTGTAACAGAGAACTATACTCCTTGTACTCAGCAAGAATCGGCTCTGTGGCAGAGTCGATGCGAACGCTTCGTAATGCTGGAATGCTGGGTTCCATCCCAGCTGCGGGCCATGGGCCTCGCGTTGGTTTTGACAGTGGTATCAAGAAAGCCGACCGTCCATAAAGAAATAGCACAGTACTGGGCGTAAATTTGCCTAGAAAAACCACACAATCGCCAAGGGCTGTTGGGGTTGGTTCTGCAACGTCCTGTAAAGTATACGCAACTAACCTTTCTAGTTATCTTCTCCTGGTTTTCTGCCAAAGATCAACAACTCAGCAAGAAAGTTGCATGACTGTAGACCACAAGCTGGCCAACAAGACGGCGCAGAGGTAATGTCCACTCAGATCTACAAGCGGCGCCGGTGGCTTAGGAGTTGCGAGTTCGACTAGTAATTCCAACATACCGCGATCGAAACCGACTGCTGGCTGCGTGGTTGTCTATCATGGTAGGGGGCGTCGCAGGTCGACACAGCATAAAAAGGCTACCAGGATGTATGTCCTGGGAAAGTAAAGACGGCTGGCGTAATGCTGACCACATTACCCACCAAGTGCCGAATGGTCTATAAAAATATGGGTGTTCTTTCCAAATGCGTCTAAAGGCTTAAAAAGGGATCATTACTTTTACTTTACAGATAAACAAACACGTGAGTCACTATATGGAAAGACAGGGCTAATCACAGAGATGAATGGAACCAGGGGATATCTGCACAATGAGCCTCAAAAGCTCAGAATGCTGAGTAGGAAAATGAAAAAGCTAGTGAATTGCTTTATGACAGGGACGAATATCTGTCAGAAGTCGACACTATACGGGACAGAAGGATGTGCACATAGTTCCCAAGCCACAAAGCAGGGATTGTAAATAACATTCTGACAGGTTTAATGGTAACATTATTATAGTGTGTCGAAGCGGTTGACCAGACAAGTTTGTTAATTCCCATGTTATGTCATATATGTGTATTAACTGCTTTGCATACTACTTCTTCTTTTTCTTCTTCTTTCGTTCTTTTAAAATAACCTTTTTATATCTGCAATGTTGTCTCGATTAAGAACTTCACTGACTCTTTATTCAGTCAGCGATCCGTAAAGTTTGGCTTCCACCGGTGCTTCTACTGGACATAAGCTAATTTGGGACAGACTCAAAGGATCTGATCTGTTGTTTCAGATGCCAATCCGCATGTACACATGTCATTTTTAAATATTGAGTGCATGTTGCTACGAAGTCGATTGTGCCCAATTCTAAGGCGTAGAATTATGACTTTCTCTGTTCTGTCCACAATATATATGGTAATGGACTTGGTAATCACACCAATTAAAGAAAGCACATATGGTAGATTTAAAAAAAGAGGATTACTCTAAAACATAACAGGAAGTTTTACAGCAACATCAAAAATTACCGTCTTCTGTTTTCTGGAAAATTTTAAGACTTCTGAGTTTAAACTTTGTAT